CAAAGTTACAAACATCATGCAGCTGTGTCATTAAGACAATTGAGCCACGAGCTTCTGCAACAATAGGTGATCTAAAAAATGTTGTATCAATGATCAATGATCTTGAGGAAAAAAGAATCATTTCTCCTTGGGATGATGAACAGATTCCAGAGGAAATTGTTAATACAAAACCTAATCCTGGGTAATTTTGGACCTTAACTTCTTAGAAATGCATATCACCATATCAGTTTTATTTCTGCTTTGTTCTTTCCCCTTTGTGTGTGCTTGTGTTTTCTAGTTCACATGAGAATCTCTTCTCTGCAGCAAACTCTGTTTTTTGCTTGCTTGTATTCGAGAAGGGCATAAAATTGTTTCATTTTCTGTTGGGAGTTTATATTCTTATGTATTCTACATTTATCATCAGCTCTATGAATTCTCTTAAACCGTTTTCTGATATCTCAGTATTCTTAGCCTTTCTAAATTATTTGTTTCAGGAATATAGTGCAGGAGTTGGAATATTCAAAAATTGGAGTTACTGAGTTAGTTCTATCAAATGGCATGAGAGTTTGCTATAAGTGTACAAACTTCCTTGATGACCAGGTGGAACTCTGTGAAAGCAATGCAATATCTGTAGTTCAATGTCTGGGGAGAAACTGTGTGGATCTCATTATATGAGTTTAGCTCTAAAGCTCTGTCAATATGTCACTTGTTTTTTTGTAGTTAAAGTTATGAACATAAGACGACATTCATCATTCTAATTGATCTGTAGTCATTAGAACTAGGGGTGAAAGAGAAAGGAAGAAATTCTATTTCCAATGCATGAAATGAACGTTTATTAATTCAAGGCTAAAAGAACTATTATATATGATATTGTTCCTTTCCAATCATTAGGAGAGAAATTTTCCATCTCATATAATGGCTTTCTGTTCTCATGTATGGTAGTACCAAAGATCTGAGAGTTGTTGTATAGTATGTCTAGTAATTTAGTTGGTTTGTAATTCTTATCGACACTTTGTTTTGATAGGTAATCTTTACAGGGTTCTCATATGGGGGTTTATCCGAACTTCCTGAAAGCGAGTACTTTTCTTGCTCAATGGGACCAACCATTGCAGGGGAAATTGGCGTATATGGTTATAGACCTTCAGTTCTTATGGATATGCTTGCTGGTAAGAGAGCAGAAGTCAGCACAAAACTTGGAGCATATATGAGAACCTTTTCTGGTGATTGTTCACCCTCAGACTTGGAAACTGCTTTGCAGGTATGCTCTCTCTCTCTCTCTCTCTCTCTCATATTATGATCACAATGTTAACGAAGTGTTGTAGGATGGAAATTTAAAATATTAAAAAAAAATTAATGGTTTCTCTTTATCCCGTAGTTCTCTTTATTTGTCATGTTTTCGCAAGGTTTTCTTAAGTTACAAAGCTTTTGCAATGTTTGTGCTGGCAGCTTGTCTATCAACTATTTACGACAAATGTAACACCAGGAGAAGAAGATGTCAAAATAGTGATGCAAATGGCAGAAGAAGTGGTCCGTGCTCAAGACAGGGATCCTTACACTGCATTTGCAAACCGTGTGAAGGAGCTCAACTATGGAAACTCCTATTTCTTTAGAGTACGATGCCCATTCTGAGTTCATTGTAGTTTTCTTTCATGTGGTTTGTTCTAGTTATAATTCTGGGTTAATTATATATTTTGCAGCCTATTAGAATAAGTGATCTTCGGAAGGTTGATCCATTGAAAGCCTGTGAATATTTCAACAAATGTTTCAAGGATCCATCAACTTTCTCCATTGTTATTGTTGGGAACATTGATCCCTCTATAGCACTTCCTCTTATATTGCAGTATTTGGTAAGTAAAACTTCCTTTCGAGTCTACTTACACCTGGATTATATTATATGTCCTCACAGGTATGTGATTTACCATGCAGGGTGGAATACCAAACCCCCCTGAACCTCTCCTGCAATATAATCGTGATGATCTCAAGGGACTACCATTCACTTTTCCTAAAACCAGAATAAGGTAGAATAGAGCACAAATCCATATGCAGCAATAGCACATTGTATTTATAATATCATATCAATACCTACATGGGTTAGAAGGTGTTGCAAATAAGAAATAATAATATAATATCAATACCTACATGGGGTTGGATGCTTTCAGTTGGACTAATTGTTCAAGCTGACCTTTTTTTTCCCAAACAAAAAATACCGTTATTTGATAAGGGTTTGATTAAGCAGCATCCCTGCTCTCCCTTGCCTCGGCCACCCAATTTATTGGATGTTTGAATATTGTCATTCCCGCCCTTGTCTTAAATCTAAGAGGCCACTAAAGTTTCTCATTTCACTCCTTGGACATGTTAGTGCATATCTGAACACCTACTTCCTTTTATTGCTCCAAATCCCTTCTAATACACTTGACTGGACGTGCTTGCAGAGAAGTTGTTCGCAGCCCAATGGTGGAAGAACAATGTTCTGTCCAGCTGTGTTTCCCTGTGGAACTGAACAATGGAACCATGGTGTGTGCTCCTTTCCTATGTTACGAAGCATGTGACAGATCATGATGCAATGACCTTTTGCGATTTCAATTTGACTGATGATTTATATCTGGGGAAAAACAATTAAATGACAGGTAGAAGATATTCACATTATTGGGTTCCTGAGCAAACTTCTTGAAACAAAAATCATGCAGGTTCTCCGGTTCAAGCATGGACAGGTATGCATGTGTCTTAATTGTTTTAGTTCTATTAATCACCTTCATCTTTGGTTCAGTTCTTCTTTAATTACCTCTATGCAATAGATCTACACTGTAGGTGTTTCTGTATTTCTTGGTGGTAATAAGCCTTCCAGAACTGCAAATGTTCGTGGTGATATAAGCATAAACTTTTCTTGTGATCCAGAAATCTCCTCAAAGCTGGTTGGTGCTTTTGTAGCTTGACAGGTTTCTATTTTTTATTTATTAATTGAATGGTTGGTGAACTAGCTATTTGATACCGTATAACAGGTCGATCTTACTTTGGATGAAATTTCACGTCTTCAAGAGGAAGGGCCGTCAGACGAGGATGTCTTAACCATCCTTGAAATTGAGCAAAGAGCCCATGAAAATGGGCTTCAAGTAAGTTTTCTTGTTACAATAGGGTTCATTTTGGTCGGTTAAACATCATTCTACCCCAAATTGTAGGACATCAAATGTTCAACTCAATTGTTCCTGATGATCACTTAGTGCATAAAGTTTCCTGGATCTTAGAGATGAATGAAATGGATGTAATTGTAAACCACTTGATTTCTGTTTCTGATTTCCCACTCTTTCAGGAGAATTACTACTGGTTGGACAGGATTTTGCACAGCTACCAGTCAAGGGTCTACTCAGGTGATGTTGGCACTTGTTTTGAGGTTGGTTGCTGTAATCTTACTTGCCTACCGCCCCTGCATTTTTGTTAGCTTAAATTTGTCTCTCTAAATTGCTCAATTCCCGGTGAATGGGTAGTGGTTCCAGTTTGATTTGGAGTTTAATGTTCTCAAGTGAAGTCTTAGGGTAGAAGAAATTGTCATGGATACAGTAGTTCCTAGAAACAGAAACCTTTCCTAGCTTCCATTCGAAGGAAATTATTTATTGCAACAAAAAGTTTGAGGTAGTATGCATTCAAATACTCAAACGACTGTTAAACGTATATCGCAGATTCAAGAAGAAGGCCGGTCCAAAGTCAGACAATCTTTGACACCAGTAACCGCACAGTTGGCACTACAAAAGATACTGCCTTTTCCTTGCAAAAAAAAGTACACTGTAGTGATCTTGATGCCCCGTACATCTCACTTTAAGTCACTAAGATCATTCTTTCAATCTACTGAAATCAGTTACGGAAGACATGCGAAGGTGAGTTCTATTCAAATTTGTCCTTGAATGAATTATCTCAAATTATTCGTAAACTTTAGAGCAGCTGTATAACAAATTAGTTTTGCTGGTTGTAACAGATTTTGGCTGGCATTGCTGGTCTCACAGTTTTGGCTCTTAGCTTGTGGAGATATTCAAGAAGACCCTAAAATCGTAGGTGACATTGACATAACAGAGCTCTAGATACATGAAAAGCGCCAAGGTTCCGGTAATAAGTTTAGGATGGTTCTTTTTTTCAATGCTCAATGATTTGAGGGGTACATATAAGCTCAATAATAGCTGAATTTCTGTAGAACCAGAATTTATAGAGAGGGTAAGATACTAATATGGAAGCAAATGCAAATTTATTTGGCCCCATTCGAGGCTTGTAACATGAATGTGTATTTCTCCTTTGTAGCTTCATAACATTTATTTAGTAATACTATCTATCCAGTAATATATTATCGGGAGTAGACATTTCGGTTTATAAACACTAGCCTCTCGACCTGCGGCCACGCCGGTGTCAATAGGCTTTTTGTATTTTTTATTTTATACACACTATATAGAGAATTTTTGTTGGATATGGACTTTTGTTTTCGTTCTTTTTTCGTTTTGTTTTATAATGATTTGCATTTTAATAGACTATTGTTTTTCGTATTTGTCTTTGCCCTTTTAAAATGAAATGATTCTGTCTTGTCCAATTAGTGAGAACAATTTTGGATTATTTAAAAATTTAACCCATAAAATTCATTTGTTGTTGTCTACATATATGCGTTCATTACTGAGATGTTCTTTCATGCCTTGCTCTTCTTGCACAGAAAAGAAAAAGAAAGCCCAAAAAAAAAAAAAAAAGAGGAAACAAAGTTTCAATGAGTTGTAACAAAAGAAGAAACCCGAACACAAATTTAAAAGCAAAAGGTGGCTGATCCTTTTTTTTTTTTTTTTTTTTAATTTTCTATTCAGAACGACTTTTTATCCATCTCTAATTTTTTTTGCCAGATAATTATTACCATCTCTAATTGGTTAATTTAAGTGTCATCCGTGAGAAAAATGTAAGAGGACACGACGTTCATGACAACAAAACGCATTAACAAGCGACATGTCGTCTAAGTCTGATAGAGCCTTATAACGGTGTGGAAGCTAGGGTTTTCCGCTCCTTTTTTAGTTGATCTCCCAGCGCCTCTCTCTTTCGTCTCTCTCTCTTTCTGCCTCACTTCAAGCCCTAAGGTTAGTCTCTCTCTTTCTCTCTCTCTCTCTTTCGCACATTTTCTCTCGTATGGAGTTGTTCTTCTAAAGTTTAAGTTGTTCACTCTCTGTTTGGTCGCTGAGAAATCGATGTAAACAAAAGAAAAAATCTTTCGAATTGGATCTATGCCTTTTGTTTTTTGGTTCCCTATTGTTGAAAGCTAGGACTACTTCTTTTAAAGATTGGATATTTAAGTTGTGGAGATTCTAAAGTGAGGGGATTTCAGTGCAGGTACAGTTGTAGAAGGAGAGTGTGAAAATGGTTGAGAAGACAAAGGGAAGGAAGGAGGAGGTGGTGACCAGAGAGTATACCATCAATCTCCACAAGCGCCTCCATGGCTGGTAATATATTATGCTCTCTTTTATGTTTTGTAGCTATTTTTATCATAAACGTTTGATTGTGGTTGCTTGTTTTGCTCATCATATTGTTTGGCTAGCCTCATATTGGTCTGTTTCCTGAGTTTGATTTAGAATTGAGCTTCATATATGGTTATGGGTTTCTTGATTGTCGGAGAGCACCTTTGCTTCTATGAAATCAGTAGCGAGTAATTTCAACTTACACCCAAGCGGGGTTTATTTGTTTAGCTTTAATGGCCAACGTAAATCAGTTAAGTTATTTGATTAGAAATTTATAATTGTGTCAAAAGAGAAATCAGGAACAGAGAAAAGGTATAATGCGGATCTTAGTTAACAAAATTGGCGGGCTGGTTCTTCTTGCGAGGTTGCAACATCTTGCAGGCACTTTGATTGGGATCAGGGAAATGGGCGATGGCTGTCATTGTTCAATGTGATTATAGATTGAGTATTATTAAAATTAGAGTTTTCAGGTGGAAATGGTCAGGTTTTCCTGGGTGTATGGATTAGGGTGCCTTTTTTATGGTGAGACTACTAGAGGGTGGCTGGGGTGCGCTTTAGTATGGATTGTAGGGCTGTTCTATGGAGTTAGTATAATTTGTTGCAGAGGTGGATGACTATTGAAGTCATAGGAGGATCACTGTCTCAGATGTGGATGGCGATTAAAGGTCTGGGGTGACAGGAAGTTTCATATAAGTTTTTATTTCCTTGAATGTTGCTTTGTTTGTTACCTTGTACATGGTAATTGAACCAGATATAGCTTTCCACATAATACCTTCAATTTACTGTTGCCTTTGCACCTACAAACATTGTTGTGAAATTTTTGCAGTGTCTGTGTTTGTTGTGAAGTTTGTAATACTTGCACAACATGTAATACTTGAACTACAATATCAATTAAATTCTGTAATAGCTTTGGAAAAGCACGCAAGTAACTTTCTTATGCACTGCCATTCGCATAACAGCACATTCAAGAAGAAGGCTCCTAATGCCATAAAGGAGATCAGGAAGTTTGCTCAGAAAGCAATGGGGACAAATGACGTTAGGGTGGATGTGAAGCTGAACAAGCAGATCTGGAGCAGAGGAATCAGGAGCGTCCCAAGAAGGATTAGGGTTCGCATTGCTCGCAAGAGGAATGATGATGAAGATGCCAAGGAAGAGCTTTACTCGCTTGTTACCGTTGCAGAGATCCCAGCTGAAGGACTGAGTGGGTTGGGCACCAAGGTCATTGAAGAGGATGATTGATCCATTAATGTGTGTTCTAAGTAATCTATTCAATAGGCAGAAAAAAGAGTTTTATAAGCTTTTTGGCAAAAACCTTGAGAGACTAAAGACTTGTTTCAGTAGTTTGGTGTATTTTTGTTTGGCTAAATATTCAGCATCAGTAATGTACTTTTTGGTTTAAGTGATTTGGTTTTCTGGTTACCTTTTAATCTCTCTCTCTCTCGCTTGAAATTTCTTTTCCGTCTGGAGGAAATCGTACTGATATCTGAAAGTGAGTCTGATGGCCGAGCTGCCCATTTGTTAAACTTTCAAGAAAGAAGGTTAAAACGGAGTGCGTGATGTTGCAAATGACACATGAAAGAAAACATTAAATTTCTAGAAGTTAGTTTTTAAGCAAAAATAAACAGAAAGGATTTCGTGAGCATTATCATACATTCGAATCTATACATTCTAAACCTAAACATTAGAATACACAATTTTCTTCTAAATACAGTATTCAGTTTAAGTGGCTTGGCAGCGAGGCATCTTCTTTGATTCAGAATCCTTAACATCCTTTAGCTGGTAATAATGTGGAGCTATTTGTGCCAACCACTTCGGCTCTGTCTCCGTCACATTCCTCATATATTCTTTTGCTGTGAGCACAATTTCATGGTATAAAACGCATTTCGGAGGCACTTGTGCTAGCCCTGAGCTGGGGTGTAAGTAGGCAGTCTCTGGATGTTTGATTCTTCTGTAACACGCATTTTTAAGCAACCTTGCCACATGAGGGAAGAAACCTGAGGCAATGGCCTTCTTTATCGACACTAAATCAGCAGGATTTGAGGTTATTTCAATCTCAACCCTCTCCAGGAGCCGCTCAAGTTGATCCCGGATGTCTCTTGCTCTTTTCATGCTCCTAACCTGTACAAAATTTTCGTAGCACCATTGTGTTGAGTAATTTACCTCTTTCCATGTGTTGTAAATATTAAGCAAGGCAATGTGATCTCCCACGTTCCCAGTTTGAAAATTCAGTTGCGTATTGTCAGTGTGAACTTGTTTTTCCTTTGGACAGTAAAAAATTGAATTACCAACAGAAAGCATAGCAGCGATGGAAATAACCTCATCCGAGCACTTATACTTGTCGGAAGCAACAATCATCTTAGATAGCATTGGATCAAGAGGAAACTCTGCCATCCGTCTACCAACTTTAGTCAGCTTTCCATAGTATGTCTAATAGATTACACTGAAATTTATCACTTTCAACTGCAGGTTAGTTTAGATGCAATGTTTGATGTGCAGACAAAGAGAATACTCGAGTACAAAAAAGGCAGCTGCTTAATATACTTGGCATTATCCATCTATATGACTATATCGAGGTAAATCTGATTTTATATGGTGAAAAACTTTGCATTCCATGTTTTTATAACTTATTAACAAAGAACTAAGGGAGCCATCACCATCCTCCAGCATTGTGCAAACTTAGTTCATCTTATTGTCACGGTAATTTAAGAAGTTGGACAGTAATTTGTTGCTTTTTCAATGAGATATGATGTGCAGTTGGAGCTTTCTTCTCATGTTTTTGGGATTTTAGCCCTAAACCCTAAAATAATACAACAAAATTGTATATCGAAAGGGTATAGCCGCGCGGTATACGCTTCAAATATGTTTGAATATTTTAAACGCATTAGCCGTTCGGCTATACTTTCTAAATACATTCGAACATTTTAAAGTTATAGCCGAGCGGCTATACGCTTTAAATATATTCCAAAAGCTCGCACTCGAAGAGGACAGAACTTGCACTCGCGGTCACTGCTTCGTCCTCCGGGTTCGGCACCGGAAAAAGAGCCAACCCGCCTAGGCGCCCGCCCAGCCGCCCAGCTCCGGCCTAGCTACTACCTAGACGCCTAGTGACCGCCTAGCCGCCTAGTTACCACCTAGCCGCCTAGCAACCGCCTAGCGACCGCCTAGGCCCAAACACTGCAATTGACCGAAATACTTGAAGTTGGATGATGTTTTCATAGAAGATGAGGGGTTTTTCAAATGGATATTACGTTCATGTAAGTGCATCAAGGAGTTACATCCTGAAGATATTTTTGGAATAAATCAGATCACCATTGAAAGCTCCTCTTTGAAATCTTTTAGTTTTGTGCTTGATTCCCCTGTGTATATTGACCTTATCCTTAGCATCTCAGCTGAAAAACTTGAAGACATACTTGTTCACTTGGATCTTCATAACTGTGTCAAGAATTTGGTCAAGAATTTTGCTCCAAATCTTAAGTATTTGAAATTGTCAGGGGATGATGTATGGATTGGCCATAGTTTGGGGAAATCTACGTCTTTGGAAAAAGCCAAGTTTTTTCTGGAATCTAATCGCGTTGCTTTAAAATATTGCCTGAGGTTCTCTGCAGTATAAACAAGGTTGAAACTCTTGTTCTAAACAGAGAGACCACCATGGTAACTAGACACCTCAAGATGTTATTTTTATTCAATGGTTATTTTTTTTCAATTTTGTCTTCTTTAGGTTATATTCTTTCCCAGCATGGCAATAGGGGTAAGTTAAGTTCAGAAAACTGATGGCAATAAGATTTAGTTATATTTTTCATTAATTTTGGTTATACTGGCTAGAATGAAATTTCGTGTTGATGTTTCTTGTTTGTTTTAGAATTGTCAGTCTTGCATATGCATGGGTCAAGTTTCAGATTGGCAAGCACATGGAATTGCATACAATTATATTAGATTTTTGCCTCAGTTTAGGTGCACATTGATGTGCCCATTTTTTTTCACAAACATGATCCAATTGGTATTTGGTATAACAAACACAAGCAACATATACAAGTTTTGGCATGCAGGTGGCATACCAAATTCACAAAACGTAAGTGGGGATAAAGGGAACCAAGGTCCCAAAAAGGAGTTGTCCAAAAGATGCAATTCCCCACACAAAACTCCCATCTGGGGACTTGGGGGATTTCTATTTGTGAGGTAAAATACCTCTTGGTCGAGCTGGGCTAAAGTACAAATGATCGAGCTGAGCTCAGGTCCAGGTAGTTAGGTTGAGCTTGATATCAATGGACAGGCTGTGCTGAGCTTTGGGCGGGATGTCTCCGGAGTATGAGTGCATGATAACTTTTTTAGAGTTACAACTATTCACCTTTTTTTTTTTATAATAAATAAAAAATTTCAGAGAAATATTTGTCACAATGAGTCTAGCATAAGGAACAGGGCAGGAGATTGTATAAATTTCAGTTTGTGTTTAGGTTTAAAGTATTAATGCAACAACATGTTGAGGCAATATGGAGAATGGGAGAAAATTTCAAACCACACCATTTATAATATGATTCATATTCCTCCTCAAATAAAAATATAATCTATATCATAAAACATATAATATTTTCTTTTATTAAAAAAAACGTAAACTACATCTGACTGTATATATAGCCAGTCAATGAATTGGAAATTGCGTAGGCAAGAACCTAAGGTATATAAACCATAATATCCCCTCAACAAGATCCTTGATTAACTGACCTAGGAGAAAAGTATCCTAAACGTGAAGGGAATGGTAAAAGTGAAAGTTTATCGCTTTCATTCGACTCGTTGTTTACAGCCGCCTCATAATTGCCTTCTTGTTTTTTAGAATGAAGGACATAAGGAGAATTGTTGATGATCCTGCAAAAACAGAAATCATGTGTAAAGTGCTTTGTAAATTGATCAATTATAATTAAATATCTTATGTGTTTTGAAAAAAATAATAATAGAAAACCCCAGTATAGACAAGCGGCTATACTATTTCTTCTCCAAAAAATTAGAAAAACCGAGTATAGCCGAGAGGCTATACTAATTCTTTTTTAAAAAACGGAGGCGATAATATTTCTTTTTTTTTTTTGAAAGTATAGCCGGGCGGCTATACTATTTCTTTTTAAATAATTAAAAACCCCCAGTATAGCCGCCGGTTATTCTATAAAATTTTCCTACATTTTTCCAAATAATTCAAGAAATAGTGACTTTCAGAAGGAACGAGGAAAGTTAATAAACAATCCAGTAGAAGCTTTGAAAGTATAAAAAAATAGTTCAAATGTTTGGTGTTGAAAGCATTTTTATGCCAAGTTTTGAAGTTTCTAGAGAACGATTAAGCGCAATAAATATAAAGATTTGATGTGCTTTTCTTTTAGTTGTGTACATATTCCATTTTATCAGTTCAGTTCTCATTCCCAAAGTAAAAAATTAGTTAGGAAATTGTGGTCAAAATGTTATTACCTAAGAAGAGAATAATAAGTAGAACTGTAACCATCCAGTCGGCGAACATGACGTTGAAGGCAACTCCTATGCTGATGCCCAGCATGAGCATTGGCTGAAAGAGCAATGCCAGATCATAATCTATAAAGGGGCATGTCCAGTGTTGGGTGCCTAAGTCTCAAATTGAAGTATACTGTTGAACCTGCAGCACCCATTATCATACCTGCATGACCAATAGGATGGCATACAGTACTTCAGTTCTGTCTAAATTGAATACATTAAGAATAAATTAACAAGTTAAAAGAAAAGATTAAAAGGAAAAGTAGTGATTACTGACACTTAGAAATGGCAGTGGAAGACTTGGGATCAAACCAATGATCAAGGCAAGCATTGCCTCCACCCCCAACACCTCCCACACTACCCAATGCTGCACCAGAGAATCCAACTATTGAGCCAATTAACTACAATTTTCCAACCAAACTTGATCTCCTGAACAACCAAAATACATATGTCAAAGTCAAAATACCACAACAGTAAACATGAAAGGAAGAATCATAAAATCTTATTGGAACAAGTCAAAATACCCTAAAATTAGACGTAAAAGTTATATCCCCTTTATGTTCTCGCTCTCTCTCTCTCTCTCTCTCAATGCGTGTGTGTGTTCTTGCTGGAGATGCATTAACTACGGTGTTTAAGGGAGATCAAACTCACTGGTGGAGCAAGTTTGAGTATATGTCTGCACAAAGTTCAGATACAGTTAAAATCATGGTGCTAGTAAACCAAAAGGTTGTAGGAACAATGTAAGCATCATCTCTTTCTTTTCCAATTCTCGGAAATCTTCTTTAAAAGTTAAATCCTTGAACACACTGTCACGTATATCTGAATAAATGGCCTGGGCGGGCGCTAGGCGGGCTAGGCGGGGGCTAGGCGGTCTAGGCGGAAGCTGGCGCCTAGAAGAAAGAAAAGGTCATTTTGGAACTCCAAGGTCTGGGACGAGATGACAATGGTGACATGAGGCGAGAGAGAGAGACGACGATGAGATTGAAGAAGACGAGAGGTTGCGTGTTATGTTTAGGGTTTAGAAAAGGGCCTGGACAAGAGAGAAGGGCCTGGGCTTCATAAAATACAACATTAAATGGATTTTGCATTATAAAATCACTAAAGTAACCACTAATAAGTAACAAATAACAATTAAATATCCAATACACAAAATTTCAGGTATATCACGAATTCTGAGTATTGATACTACGGAGAATTCAAGAGACACTCTTCAAGAATATATCATAAACCAAGATCCATCGGAGCTATTCATCTATAATTTTGATAGCATATTGATCGCAATGAACAATATCAACATCACAAACAAACTCGGGGAATGAGGATTTGGTCCAGTTTACGACGTGATTGTTTATTTGTTTTTCTCTTTCTAAAGGAAAATATAGTATCACACAGCTACAATAACAGATAAGGACATGAATGAAGTGATTAATTTGTAGGTACCCTACAAGAAGTGAAGGAAATAGCAGTAAAAGGACTATCTAGTAGATCAGGGCAGGGCATAGAAGAGTTCAAAAATGAGACATTGTTGATCTCCAAGCTCCAACATAAAACTCTTGCTAGGATCATGGGCTGCTGCGTCAAAGAAGATGAGAAGATACTGATTTATGAGTTCATGCCAAACAGAAGCTTGGACACTCTTCTATTTGGTTAGTTTCACTGGACTTTATCTTTGTAATTTGCCTACTAACTTAAAGCCACAAACGAATTCACATGAACTAAATGTTTGGGCACAGAGAATCAAAATTATTTTGGATTGATACAAAGAATCACTGATTTATTTGCAACACAAACAGTCAAGCAAGACATCCTGCAGATTTAATGCTCATAACTGTAAACTGAATTGTATACTACACGAGTACGTTTCAGTTCTTTATAAAGTAGAAGAGACAATGTTAAACTGGACCTGAAATCAATTTTGAATCTGATTACACCCTTGTTTCAGTATTGTTCATACAAATGCGTCAGTATTTTCTATAGAAATTTAAACGTTAAAATCTAGTGACAGTTTCATCGTTCAATGCATAGGATAGGATATATGAATGAAACTATTGGTTATATTTCGAATGCTTGCATTTAAAAGATCCAGCATGGAGACCTGAGCTTGACTGGGGCAGACGCTTCAATATTATTCAGGGTATCGATAGAGGGCTTCTTTATCTCCACCATGAGTCTTATTTGAAAGTAATTCATAGATATTTGAAGTCAGTAATATTCTCTTGGACAGTTTCATTGTTCAATGCATAGGATAGGATATATGAATGAAACTAGTGGTTATGTTTCGAATGCTTGCATTTAAAAGATCCAGCGCGGAGACCTGCGCTTGATTGGGGCAGACGCTTCAATATTATTCAGGGGATCGCTAGAGGGCTTCTTTATCTCCACCATGAGTCTTATTTGAAAGTAATTCATAGAGATTTGAAGGTCAGTAATATTTTCTTGGATGAGCAAATGAACCCAAAAATTTCAGATTTTGGATTGGCACGTATCATGCAAGGGACACAGAATATAACAATTACTCATAAGGTTGAGGGAACGCTGTAAGCGTCATTCCTTTTCCTATTCTTGGAAGAACATCAAAACTTAAATATCAATGTTCAGCATATTGCCATTCATATCAATATATTAGTGAATTTATATGGAAGCAGCAGAGAATCAGAGATGACATGTAGGAAATCTGGCTGTACCATTCATTTTATTTGGAACCCTGCAATCTTAACTGATAAGCAATAGGATGACAAATAGGATGGCATATAGTTCTTTAATTATGTCTAAACTGAATACATTAAGATTAAATTAACAAGTTAAAAGAAAAAATTAATAAGAAAGAACTAACACTTGGAAATGGAAGTGGAAGACTTGGGATCAAAACCAATGATATCAAGGAATTTTGAATCCAAACCTCTTCAGTGATTTTTTCTTGCCAAGGATTTCTTGACAAGATTTTCTGACTGACAAAAAGAATAGAGTGAATTTTGTCTTGCGTTGAACTATACCTAAGGAGGAATTCCCAATTCAAGAAAAAGGAAGATGAAAACGCCTCCCAACCCAAGTTGGCTACCCACCATACCAGCTACTATCCCACAGCTGCAGTAAGGAAAAATCTGATGCAACTTCCAGTTTGTGATTTCCTTTCCAATTCCATGCTTAGTTTGTCTTGAACATAATTTAGGCGCATGTATTTTGATTCTGCGTACATATACATAACATAAAAACAAACAAGCGACCACTTGACATTTATCTCAATTTTATTGTGTTACCTGAATTCGTAGGTAATTGCTATTAGGCTGAAGAGCTTTAAAAAAGTAACGACTGAGGTACTCATTCATGCCACTATTTACTTTCATAAGAAGATCCACCAGTGGATCACGCAACAACATTCCATCAGTCATATAGTTCAGACAGTTTTTTCAGAGGTGCAATCCTCAAAACGAATTGAATTACCAACCTCATGTCCAAGCTTGACGCCCATTTCTTGAGAATAGCAGCAACTCGCCATGGCTGCGTGCACCCAATCTTGCCCCGCTTTGTGTATCCAGCCTCATGTAGATATTGGGAATCTGTGTAGTTTTTCCTGATCCAGTTTCACCAACAATAACAAGAACCTGATGTTTTTCAACTGCTTGGAGTAACTCATCACGATATGAGTAGACTGGTAATGTTTTTCTCTCCCCCGCAGCTTCTGCAAGGTTGATTTCGTCCTACACTCAAATGGATATATGCACGGGTTGGACTTGCCGAACATCATCAAACTCATCTGTACTCTCCATCTCTGAAGCCTTGATAAACTCAATCTGGTCTCCAAACACAAATTCATACTCATCCTGAGATATTGATCTTTTTTTGTCTTTGGAACCAAAAATCAGTGTTGCCCTTCCAATTTGCTGATCCTCCCAAGATTTCTGTTCCGAAAACGAGTTCGTTTTGTCACAAGCACTGAGCTCCTTGTAGCGTTGCAAAGCCACAGAGAACTCAGCCTCATCAAGATCTGACTGTTTCTTAACAAGCTCTAATATTTGCTTCTTGTAACTTAATTCATTGTCTTCTGCTTCCATTAGCTTCACACCTTCAAATAAGTAGTTCATATCTTCTAAATCATCTATGATCTCCCATAGTTTCTTTAAATATACTTGTCTCGAAACTTTTCTCAAAGCTTCAACATCAGCATTGGTTCTGAAAAAAGCCTCCTCTGCCTCCCTTTGTTTTAACCTTTCCTTTGTTAGCTTTCTTGTGGCTGCTGCTGCATCCCTTTCCCTTTCCCTTATATTTCTCTCCAATTCCTCCCTCTCCCTTTGATCACGCAATCTTTCTTCTTCCCAGTCTGAACTATCTTGGCATTCATCTGACCAAGTTCGTCTTTTAACCCGTCTCTCTTCTTCCATTTCTTCATCTTCATCTTCTTCACTCGACACCCTCTTCCTGTACCATCTCTTTTTTGAATACGATTTCATGGACTCATAATAATCATCGGTATCTGCATCCAAGTGATCATATGTTCTCTGCAGCTTCCTCACCAAACTAGCAATTTCCCTCTCTGATGCTTCACGGTGCACTCTTGTGAAGATTTCTTTAGAAAAAGCGCCGATTTCACTCGATGAGGAAAACCCAAAATCAAGAAGCTTGTCCACCACACCAGCCGGTGATGTTGCTTCCTTAGTTAGCCGAATAATGAACTGAACAACTACGATGTTAGAATATCCGAGCAAGGCCATTAAATTATCCGATATCCATGTCTTTAGATTGCTGTGCGTCTCCATTGAAGATTGGAGCTTATTGTAATTGAATATTTAGGTTGGTGGGTGATGAAAACTTACTTGCAGAAGAAGGAAAAGAAACGATGGGATGATTATATACTCACTGGACTATCCTAAATCAAACAGGAAACCCTACAATAAAATAATTAAGAATAAGGGTTTGGACGTAACAGGATTTCTTTTCTTGCTGCCCAAGGAAAGCTGGATGGGTGTGAGGATCTCAGACTCCGAGCAGTGAGCGAAACTAATTGATATGAGGTGTGAAAATAAAATACATATATAAACTTCCAATAAAACGAATAAGCAAAATCTAGAACTCTTTTTCTTTTCTTTTTCTGGTCAGAAGCGAAATCTAGAAATCAAAATTATAGTCTGTAACACTTTTTAACTTTTAGAGTTTGGTTGTTTTTTTTGGTTTTCAAAATGTCTCTGCTTTATTATACGCAAAGGGGAAAGAAAGAAAAGAAAAAAAAAAGGCTCTGTTTGATATCTTTAAACAATCTAACGCATTCACTGCCACAAAGTGAGTGTGCTTTGCCAATTGTTTCGTAAGAACGTAAAACAAATCTGGCCTTTTCATATTTATAAATAATAAGAAAAATTAAAACAAAACCATTAAGAATAAGGAAATCCTAATCTCACATGTACAAGTGTGCCTTTTGTCTCAGTTTTTCTCCCACACAATACACATGATAGCATACCTATGTGTTCATGAATAAACCTAGAAGTTGCATAAACAACTTATGGACATGAATGTCACATTTTAAGATACCTTAGAGTTCCACATGCAATTTACAAAAGTATCCATATTTGTTTAGAACGTTTCAAAAAGCAACAAACGCAGCAGTACAGAAACCGGCGCTAAAAGTTGTAAAAAAAACATTTTGTCCAGCCCTCCGCGACTAACATGGTTTTAGTAACATCTTTTGTTAGGAAAACAATACCGTTCCTCAAAAGGTCTGTTTATAAATATTACATAAAGTATAAATAAAATTCGTTCAACTTATTTTTCTTTTGGTCTTTTATGATACTCTTTGTGCAGATATGAAGCCTGCAAATCCCCAATACAGAAAGTCTGCAAACACACAGCCAAAGCTCCATTAAGCATATTAATAAAAACAACCATAAAACTCAAAATTCACGCTTTTACAAAACAAAAATAAAAAATTCCCTTTCCTGTAAGTAGCACTAGCAGTCAGAGGCAAAGTTTATAAACACTCCCAAGACATTAGGCAGATCCCCATCAACAACAAAAGGAGAAAGGAATGACCCAAATATTACCAAATATCTCCCATCAAAGCCAGTTAGAATACATTTTCAGGTTAGCATTCCATAGATTCCAAGAAAGTAGACCAGGTCAAAAACTAAGATTCAGTTTCAAAGAAAGGGCATGGAACCTATTAAACTACATAAAAAATTATTGCATAACAACTCTGTCGACAGCCAAAATAAAATCAAAGAACAGAATTTGAAGGATAGCTTGCGAGTAAAAATAAAATCTACCAACACCACATTAAACGACAGAAATTATTCCAATATTATGAGGTATGAATTTCAGATACATCAGGAAACAGAGAAGAAACAGGTCATTAGAAACTCATTGACTTATCTCCATTCATACAAAGCACTAGGATACATGAGGACAAGAGGCTACATGAATGAGCACATAAGGTACCAGAACACTAGGTGAATAGAACCCCAAAACATTTTGAAACTCCATTAGCATGTGAATGTTTTGATGCAGTGTGAACAAAAATTGATAAAGGTGATCCAATCGTGAAAGTGGGAACTTTAGAGAGCAGAATTAAGGAGGCCTCAAAAACAAAATTCATAAACTCTCAGACCCCACTAATTATTCAAAATTAGTTTTACAAAATATGATTAAAGAGAATTACCTTAGAGTTTAACAAGGATTTTTCCATGCGATTAACGCAGCTCATACGAGCTCCCTCATACCAGAGTCACACTTTTAGTCTACTCCCTGTGCTATCTATCTTGGATCAATGTCAAAGACAAACAAACACGAGATTCAGCTAGCTTTGTAAGCATACATATAGCCTCGAAGTTTTCTTATCTCTTCTGATGACTCAGTTAGTAGATGATCGACGTACAGAGTGAGTCCTGCTCCACTGCAATTCCAACGTATACATATGCATTCGTGATGACTCACTTAAATTTAAAAGTTGCATGGTCAACTTACGAACATAAATCACATTTGATCATACCTTAGAGGTCCAAATGGAAGCCAGATTACATCCCAGCGGAACCTTGGCAATCTGCACAAGTATCATATATGTTTAGAAGTAGTTGGTGCCTTAAGTATATTGGTTAGAGAAATTAAAAGATAATTAACTCACGTTAGAATGTGTGTGTTTGAGAAGTAAACATACCTCAACATGTAATACAACCAGAAAACTGCGAGTATAATGCCAGTAAATAGTGAGTACCAAATCCATCGCCGGTGATGCTTTGAATCATGAAGTAATCCTATGATGGCTGATGAACATGCTATAACAGCTAGCCAATCTGTTAAAGTTTTTATTAGTTAATTATCTCATCTTAAAATATTGTGACAAGACAGCCATTTAAACACTGAAACATCATGCTAAGTTTGCTTCCCTCAACAGTGAAAATTACGGATTAGGTTTAAAACCCAAAGAACATAGATCGAGTAGAAAAGTATGTTATTACTACCTGTTCCTATATGAAACAAGTCCAAAAGGTACATATCATGTACAGAATACGGTTTCAAATCAGACCAGTGAAGCTACCACTGGAAGAAATTTGAAGGAACGAATGGTTGGAAATATATTATTATAAGTTGGTTATCTCATGAGTGCATGTGACTCTACCATCAACAAATGATAAGTATTGGAAAAACACCTGCTGATATAATCATCCATGAGTGCAACTCCTCCATGAAGTAAGCATGATAACGCTGTGATCAAGAACAAAATATGACAGTTCGGTGAGTAAATATATCTTTCGGAAAAACATAGCCACAAAATTCAACATATAATAAACAAGTTGCCCATCTGACCTTTGTCTCATCATCGATATTAGAGAGTGACAACAAATGAAGAGAACAGATTGACAAGAAAATACTACATGCCTCAAATTCCCGAAGTTCCATAAACAACAAAAATGCACTCAACCCACAGCTTATCTCTAAACTTTTCCACAGTAACAAGATCTACCTAGTGAAATTTTCCAACTTTATCTCAGAACGGAAATCCTTACAGTTGTTAATTGAAGATACCACATATTCACTACTTGTATTAGGTCTCATTGTTAAAATAAATATTATTAAATACCCATCCCAAATTTGAACCCAATGTCTTTCAAAGCATTAATGAAATGTAATTGATAGAAAATTCCCCTTGCCAAGCATCTAGTGCTGATAACACTGGAAAATGTAATTCAATGAGAACTAAGAAAAAAGCAAAATGCTTGATCTGGCTTTAAATAAGAGAGAGAGAGAGAGAGAGAGAGAGAGAGAGAGAGAGAGAGAGAGAGAGAAACATACCAATTCCCATGGAGACAAAACCTGCTGGAAGATCGAGTATAACAGAAACGCAGTGAAGCAAAAGAGAAGTGATGCAAACAAAAGCTAGCAAAAGAAGAATCAGCAAGCAATTAGTTCATGGTTGCAAGGAAAAGAAAATCAACCAAAATTGTTTACTTGGTGGATAGGACTAAAATATACCCTCCATAAACGACTCTGCTGAGCTTGACTCTTCTCGAATGAACGCACCAACTCTTCTTGTTCTGCAAACAAGACAACCCATTTAATCAAAAATCGAATAAAAATTCAAAATTTTCATTTTGATAGCGTTTATTGGCAGCCAATCGTAGATAGAACTCAGAGAAACCTTGAATGTCTAGGGGACGAGAATCGTTGAGAGTAGGGTCGTCCCACGTAGGGAGAGAGAAGTCATCGTCCTGTGACTTCCTCAATTGTCTCGCTAGCTTCTTCATCGCTGAGAATTTTTCTAGTTGAGGTTTTTCCTTCGTTCTCTCTCTGTTTGGCCTTCGAGAAAGTGGATGGGAAAACAAAAGGAAAATTTGTTTCTCAGCCGAAGAGTATACGGTCTCCTGCACCGTCGATTAAGTGGGATTCTATTTTCGAATATTCATAAATATATTCATATTAATATATTTTAAAAGTAACGCCGGGCGGCTATACTCTAAAAATATTCGAATATGAGAGTATAGCCGCGCGGCTATACTCTTTAAATAGGTAAAGATTCTATTTTCAATTTTACTTTCCCCATTGCTTTCTCAGCAACCAAACATAAGGTAAAGATTGGAAAAGATGACCCTAGGTTGAGTTACGTGAGTATCCAATTCTAATAAAGTCATAAGTGCCCCATAATAGTCTTGGGGTTAGGATTTGAGGCTTGAGAAAGGTTTGAGACTTGGATTTAGGGTTTGGAGGTTCAAATCCATTTTTAAATTCAAGGCAAAGGGATGGCATATGGTACCTGCAAAAACAGGTCTAGTTTTGGGCTTCAAATGGCATTCAAAATAAATACCAGTAGGCAACTGATAGTAAAAAACCTGTATCATGTTGAATTTGGTTCCATGGTCTTCAGTGATAACAAGAAAAACAATGCCATGACAGCTTAGTAACATTTTAGAAAAATATAATAGAAATTTTAGCAGATGTTACGGTTTCGCTTTCTTGTGGAGTGACAATTGACAAATTAATGGGGTTAGCTTTCATTCTAATGAAATATACATGAAATAAAATGGCTCTTCCTTGCTCTGCTTCTTGATATGTAGCATCCATTTAAAGCCTAAAGCCTCATCACAGGCAAAAGTAGAATCCATAACTCATAATATATTTGTATGACAAAAGAGACAAAAGAAACCTTTAATCAGACAATGTAGACTCTAGAATAAAAAGAATCCAATCTGCCTCCTGCTTATATAACATCAGTTTTCTGCCATCTGCAAAGTAATACAAATCATATCATGTCAATATATCTCATGTTTTTCCATCTGTCAATTGAGAGAAGCACCGTTAACAAGAGACATGAAGTTGAAATTTTCTTACCACTTCTGTAGACTCTGTAGAATTAGACTTCCTGCAGTAGATGATGATCGCCTTTAGATTTTCATCGCGCTCATCGGGGCTCATTGTGGAATAATACTCAGCATGATGTGCCTGTGGTGACTGCACACTGCTTCTTGTCTTGGTTGAGGCACCACCAGGCTTCATTCCTTGTTTCGCTTTTTTTGCAGGACTTGATTGAATTCTTGGCTTGATACATTTCCAAAACCGAATCACAATCTTGCGAAACCTTCCTTGACTAGGCTTTCGTAAACCACGGAGATTGAAGTAAGTGGGAGAAGACAAGCCACTTCTTGGAAGTGGTTGCAATGGTGGTGCAGAATTGCTAGTTGGTGAAGGTATTGATGATGGCAAAGTATCAGTGGAGGGTCTGTTGGTAGAGGTTGGATTTGAGGGTCTTGGTTTGAAGCCTTCAATGGGCTCCAACACCCAACAATCACATGCGCTGTCAAACTTCAACTCTAAACTCTCCATTTTGATCTAAAAAACTGCTTCTTTTTTCTCTCTTAAGAAGATGAGTTTTAGTTTATCTTAACCAATTGAAGCTTTTTATGCAAGCTGCAGGCACACGAGTACTGCAAGTTTATGGTGATTTTGGCTTTGGACTTTAAGTTTTTACATTTACAGAATCACAGAATGAATCAACCAAACTGATCACCTTCTTTAATCTGCTGCACTGATTGGGGGGATCTTTAATTAACACGGAAAGGAGTTTTTGGTTAATTGCAATTGCAATAGACTTGGTTTAGCAGGACTCTTATTTTGGAAACAACTTCATTGATTTTGTTTCCTTTTTTCTTTTCGCAGAATCTTACTTCACTGGGGCCATGAGCCTTATTTTAGAAAACAGTTCAAAAGAGCCTTAGATTGATTGATATAATGTGGTAGTCAATAAAATACTATCGTTCTTTTATCAACAAAAAAAAAACCCTACATGGGATGGGAGAGGGGGGTTTTTTTTTTTTTTTTCACACACAACCAAGATTTCAACCAAAATTCTATGAGCCTTCAAACCTAAGACCTATAATCTGCAAGTCGATGCCATTTTCCATCGGGGTAGACCCCATTGGCCCAAACAAATTCTTTGGAAATTATATGAAGGGTGGTAACCTCAAATAAGGGAAAGCATTAACATAATGTCATCTTCATTCTTCAGCACCAGTACCATTCTATAATTTATCCATTTGAGGGTATACCCTACTTAAAGTTTTAGGTTCATAATGAGCAACATGCCACATTGTCACATGTGCAGCATCTTTATTATCAGTAAAATTCCAAGGAGATTATTCATTATTGTTCAAGGTAGGTTTTCAATTTAAATGAGATAATTATTGGCATTGCAATTAAACATTAGCTAATGACTTATACTCTGCTTTGATGAAGGGATCGGTGAGGTCTATGCATTAACATAAAATCCATGTATAATAGAACTGCATTGGCCATAATTTGTGAAGAACAGTGAGGAGGAACATTACTAATTAGGAAGTAGGAACCATTACTATTTAAATAAGGATATTTTGATATTCTTCAATGAAAATGGGTTTAAGTTGTTATTTTGAAAGAACAAAATTTCCACTCACTATTAACACAACAGGTTTATCACATCATCAACAGGTTGGCTGAATTATTGATAAAAGGTCAGCTTTGCATGGCGAAGATACTACATCAAATCTGCAAGCAGTTCATACTGTGGTTTACATGAGTAGAGCCCTTAACTATCAATCCTAGAGCTTCACAATTCATCATGAAAGCTCCCTTTCGGCAAAGTAGATTTGGGTTGATTTTCCAGGAGGTATCTTGTGGCCAATGATGCATGCAATGCTGCTCCATATGGAAGAACATCTTCATTTACTCTAAAGAACGGTGAATGCCCTGATTCAAACTTTCCTTGAGACTCATTCTTCATACCAACAAAGAAGAAGTATCCCGGAATTGCTTCTTGATAAAATGAGAAGTCTTCTGCACCCATCATGGGTTGCCTTTCCAATATGTTCTGAGGGCCCAACAAATCACCTGCAACATTTCGGAAGTGTTCATGCAGATTTTTGTCATTAACAGCCACAGGGTAAAAGGGCTTATCCCTTTCATTGAATAGGACTGTTGCATTACACCTCTGTACACTGGCTTGCCTAGTGATAACCTGCAATTCAGATAAAGAATTAACATTTACAATGTGGCATTGTAAACGAAATCAATAAAGACAGCAAAGGGTATTTTTTACTTCAGCACTCAGTCAGGATGCCGAAAGTAAAGGGAGGAATACCTCTTCAATTCTTTGTTTAAGTTGGATAAAGCTTTCCTTTGAAAATGCCCTGAACGTGCCACCAATTGTAACAGAATCTGGAATAACATTGAATGCACCACCACCTTGGAATTTTCCAACGGTAACAACCTGCAAGATATACTTTCATATAACTAAATGGATATGAAGTAATCACGGCACTATTCCTTGCAAAGGGGTCTAGCAGGCACATGAAGTAAGAGGTTAACATTTACCCATGAGTGAGCGACAGCATAGGGAAAAGAAAACATTTAATTACTTTCTATATTTGAAAGCAAAAATGATCTGGGTAGAATTTTCACTTCAAATTTTATGGGACAGAGAGGATTTTATTGCAACGGAACGATAAAATATGTGTAGTGCAAAACAAAGGGGTCAAGAAGATCAAGGTTCAAAAGTAATGAAGAACCAAGGTACAGGAATAACAGGAACTAAAATGGATTATGGAACTAAAATAAATCATTTATAAAAAAGATACTGATACGACATATAATTGGAAGTTCCATTCCATACGGCTGCTGCAAGAACAATACAAGTTTTTACTTCCACACAGCTGCACTGCTTGGGCTATTTTGATTTGATGGGTTACTTGAGAGATATAAAATGACACAAGCAGAGGAGAGGGAGAGGGAGAGGGAGAGGGAGAGGGAGAGACAGAGAGACATAAAGAGAACCTGTGATTCCAAGGGGTCAGCTTCACGTGAAACAAGATGTTGCAGACTAACAATGACATTGGAAGCAGCCAAGATTGGGTCTATTGTGTGCTGTGGAATGGCAGCATGACCCCCCTTCCCACTTATTACTGCCTCAAAAAAACCACTCGCGGCAAAAAAAGGGCCAGACCTGGTTACCACTGAACCAATGGGGTAATCAGCAGCGACATGCAACCCAAAGATGGCACCAACATGCTCCAATGCCCCTTCATCTAACATTTTCTTTGCTCCTCCACCTCCTTCCTCAGCTGGTTGGAAAACAAGAACAACTGTTCCCTATAAGAAACATAACAAATAACTAAGAAAACTTTCTTCTGGAGATAAGAGATATATTAAATGAGACCGCTATTCAGCTGACAGAAAACAATGGAATATCTAATAATGCAGCTCCATAATCAAATATCCCAATAAAGGAAAGATAGAGCTCTTTATGTAGAAACATTAGTGAGCAAGCAACTTCTTATGCTACATTCAAAGTACATTTTCATAAAATTGACAATCCACTGAAGAATACAATGCTTGTGCTACAATGACATAGGGAAGTTAACAAAAATGTAAGTGAGAAAATAACTTACGGTGAATGTGTCATTGATGCTAAGTGTACTCAATATGCCAATAACCCTACTAAGAAATACACACACCTAGCAATCTATAGACTAAGTACTATGCTCGACCCTGGTAGCTGGCTACATCATAATGCAATTCCAACTTCCAGTGGGCACTCCAAAAGTCAATTAACATCACCATGTTTCCTCCCTCCTTATTATGTCATCTACTTATTGATACACTTTTGGTAGTCACATCTTTAACTTGATGACAATTACTATTGAGGGGTCTAAGCTCTTCTTTTATAAGTAAACTTCTGGGAAGCTAAGTCAAACTGCTAATGTGTGTAACCACATAACATCCAGCCAAGAAATTCAACACATATGAGGATTGATAATCTCAATCAGCTAACCTGCATGCTTCTATATGGGGATTGTCAAACAGGGGACACATATGTATAATGATTTTGTATTTTTTTTATAACCTGATGTTTTGTGTA